CACCACCCCCTCCCCCCTCTCCCCTCTCCTCTCCTCCGCTGCTTATCTCTGCGCGCATCGTCAGCAGTAGTTTGAAGTGAAATCTGACAGCCGCTGCCGTGCCCGCTCCTCCGTTTCTTTTCACTCTCCGGCTCATCGTCCCGTCTTCTTTAAAGAGGTAATAAACCCGGCGGGTTTAACGCGCTTTACTGTTATTAGTGATGGACTTTTATTTATTGGACGGGTGGGGTAAGATGACTGACCTCGATTGCCGGCCGGGATGCGAGCGCGCGTCTCTCTGTGTGTTAGGGGTGACGCGCTTTTCTCACAAATAAGCTCTCCCCCCTTTTATTTCTGTTGTATTTATCTCTTTATTTTTAATCTTCTCTCCGCAGCTCAGTCGGGACAGGTGGGACCGCATCTGATCGCTGTCTTCAACTTGGGGGCTGAAGAAAGACCCGGGAAACTCCTCGGGATTCTCCGCACACCGAGCGCTGATCTGGATTTTGTGGTGAGCACATTGACTTTTCAGTTATTGGTGCTTGTTCTTCTTCCTCTGTTCAATCTTGTGCATCTTTAAAAGTGGTCCCTTTGATTTGCTTATCTAACAGTCTAAATATAAACCCCTCTCCTGCTGCTGTAGTTATCCTTCAAAAGCATCATCATCATCATCACTCTCTCTAAGTGTTTGTATTTATTTTTATTTTTTTAAGCTGCACCTCTCCTCCTAGCTGTCCACTTTTTTAACCCTCCCTCATCCCCTAACATGGCAGATAAGTTTCCACTTCTTGTGAATTCAACGTGGCCACTTGTGACAATTAACGGCTGCTGTCAGTATTCCTCTCACGGAGGCTGAGAGGGTGAAATAACACCGAGCTGAGTGTGGGAGAAAAAGAGGGGAGATTAGGTGAGAGGAAGAAAGAAACAATTCAGGGATCCCTAAGGTTGAAAAGGGGAGGGCAGAGCTACTTGCTTTTATTTTATTGAAGGGGGTGGAGGGGTGGTTATTAGTCTTTTTATGTCTCAGGGATGATTACATGATCTGATATTGGATTCACCGGCTCTTCTGAATGTGCCATCGCTGTGAGGTCCATTACAAGTCATTACATGGTTGTGACATACAAGCACTCTTGAAACTGTGGGGCCATTTGCTGCTTTTATTGTCCTGTTTATCAATTAAGGCCATCTCTAATGGAGATCTCACACTTCCTCCAACATAAAACATTACTCTCCCACACACCATCCGCCAGCATCTCACCTCCCACATAGCCACACTTGCTGTCCACGGCCGATTATCTGGTTATGTGCCATCGTTTGAACTAATTTTGAGATGTAATGACATCTCGATAGCTGCTGAGGCTGTGCCATCAGAGACCGGCGAAGGAGAGGCCTTAAAGACGCAGAGGGCAAGGCAAAGAGCCCTTGGAGGTTGTTGGATTGTGTTAAGTACAGTACAGGGTTGTCATTTTGAAGTCAGGAATGTGTGTGTTTTTAGTGTGTGTGAGAGACAGACTCAGCTTTGCTCAGTCATGTGAGTGCAAGTAAGGAATGAGTGAGAAGAGACAACGAGGAACAGAGAGAGATTATGCTAACTAAAAGTTCCGGAGGAAAAACCCGTTGTAAGCAGTTTTTTATTTTATTTTGGGGCTTATAAATGTACATGTCAGGCTGTCACAGTCTTTTCTCAAAAAAAGTTATTTTGGGTTTGACGTGCTTTTACAATATTTATATGAAAGAAGAAGCCCCCCGACTTATGTTATCCTTTGTGTGCACCAAAGAGAAGGAAAAGAGGACTGATCAAACAAAACCAAACTCCATAACCCTTAACTCAGATGACGTGCACCAAATTGTTGAGAGTCCATTAAAGTTTGTTTTTTTCATATTTGGGAAAATGAACAAAAATACAGGCAGTGATAACATGTCACTGGTGATATTGTGTCAAAGAAAATTCATTTCATTGGAAAGTGTCCTGTGTGTTCCCTCCTTGATTTACCTCCCGCACTGCGTGCAGATGAGTTTCAGTCTGAGACCTCCACAGATGCTCCAGCCTGGCTCTAGACATGTTTGGCAATCACGCCATGAACCAATCACTTAGTCTTCTGGAGCCTCCCATCAGTTTGTCTTCTCAGGATGAAAATGAGTTTGATGATGAGTTGATGGAGTGTAACTGATGGCAGTCCAGATGATTAAGATGACAGCGCTGTTATTGCCATGTTATTGGTCATCTGAAAATTTGTTGTACTGATAAATAAAAGCATGTGACAGATTAACAGTTTAACCTGAACCCTCTGACTTCCTCATTGAAGCAATTAGTTGGCTGTGTTATGGGGTGATGGAAGGCTCCCTTCAAATCAATACTAAGCTGGTCTGACTGGCCACTTCACATTTATGGTCTGATGAAAGTGGTCTCTTTAAGTAAGGTCAAGAACCTATCTGCAAGGTTTGGCAGGAGGTTATTGAGTCATTTGATAAGTATTAAAGACAAAGCATTCTTTGAAGGAATGTATATTGTCTGCTGCCTTTCATGCCATTAAGATCATCGCATTTTGAGAAATGACTCTGTTGTTGGCATTTTGATTAAACTTTTAAAATAACATCATTATCAGTCTAATGCCATGTTGCGTTATCTCTTGATCTGTTCTTTGAGTGTGCGTGTTTGTGACTCTCAGCTACTTTTGCAACAAATTTTAGCTTAATACCTGTAAAATTGGCTGAGTTGTACCCATATTTGTGTTTTTTAAGGTCAGTTTTCAGTGACAACCATGAATTTTGTGGAATCCAAAATTTTATCAGTTGTGGAGGTACACCTAATGAATAATTTTCTGAAAGTTTCATTCAGTTTTGTTCAGAGGTTCATGAGATACTGTATTTTTGGTATATGCTCTTAAAGTCTGTTGACTCTAAGAATAGATAAAGTTTTAAATGCAAATCTACTGCAGAAAGTTATTGTTCAAAGTGTAAATTGGAGATGATTTGCAACCACTAATGCTTGGTTTAAATGGCAAGATTTTAAAACTGTAAATTGATTTTGAAAACCAGAGAGATGCCACATATGATGGAAAAAAAATAACAAATATAAGGGTTTAGGCCCTACAGTGTGTGGTGTACAGCCACATGACAAAAGACTACACACCACGCACAAACAGATTTCACTCATGAACATTTGGATTTCAGAGAGGAAATCTTGAAAGATCTCTTCAAATCAAAAATGGGTTCAGAGTAAATAAACATGGCAGATGAGGAAGACGTAATGGTGATAGTTTGAGAATTGTTTTTAACAGAGAAAAAAAATATGAAACAAAAATACATCTCCAACTTCCACCGAACTTTCTTGTGTGCCATGGCAGGTTTTTTTTTTTGTTTCTTGTCTTCGGTATCTTGGATTCCCCTCCATGTTTCTGTCATCTCACTTTCTGATTTGCTGCACACCACATTCAATAGGCTGTATGCTTGTTTGTCCTTGAGGATCACCACACACACACTGCCATATCAGGCCAAGACAATCCAACATGTTAAATATCTCCAATTTGAGATCGGAGCAGTTCCAACGTGCTTCTGAGCCAACTAAATCACTCTTAACACACCACACATGACAGGAATACCTCAAAAGATTATCTTTGGAGCCGTCATAACAATTGGGGCATCCTTACGATTGTCAGAAGGGCAAAATTGTGTCAAAAGTTGGCACAAATATCTTACTGTGTGAACCTAATATCACATCTAAAATTTTAAGACAAGGTTTACTGAATCTGGCTCATGTTTTGGTAAAATAAACTGTTGTACTTTTATTCATTTGAGTAAATAATCTTTGTTGCTCAGCTTACATTATTTCTTGTCATTTTGTAATTGCTGCTTATTATTGGCTTCACACTTAAACATTACTGCTTACTAATTGTTTATTAAGTGTTTTAAAGCCTGATTAATAACTGCAATATTTACTACCTACTACCCATCTTTACTGTTAAGATGGGTAATAAGGGTAAGGTTTATGTAATACAGTTGCATAAAACATTAAATTTGTGTTTAGGAGGGTTTTTTATTTATTTATTTTTATTTATTTGAGGACAGCAGCAATCGTATTGGCCCTGCTCTGTCTAGTGAGACAAAAACTATTTTTCAAACAGAGGTTGATCAAATAGCTATGTACAAAAGAATAAGTTCTGTTATAGCGCCGACACCTTATTAAAACTATTTTCATACTTCCTCCCGTTAAGTTCGTGAAAGTTTAAGCTTTTGGTCCACAGAGGAGCATTTTCTGACACAAATAAACCAAAACTTTTCAAAGCAGCAAATAGAAACAGGCTGGTGATATTTTGGCAGATAATCTGTTTCTTTAGACAAAATCCACTTAATCTCATCCCTAAATAACTAAGTAACACTGCTGTTCAAATTTTACTGCATTATGTCATTGCTACCATAAACTACCCATTATATCACACCCCTTTGCAGAGTGTTGAGAAAAAGGAAAGAAAAAACTGCTGAATGTTCTCTCCAACATTTGGGGCCAACAGCTGCAGCTGCAGCTTCCACTCTCCATCTGACACGGGACAAAGACAAACAACGGCTAAGCAAAGAGGCAGCACCGCAGATAGCAAACCCAGACAAAAAAAGAAAGAAAAAAGAAAGAAAAGTTCATGTTTTTTTTAGAACTGACATTTAGTATACTTTAATATCTGTAAGTTAAACCAAACTTTTAAGGAGTGTGGGCCAATCAGAGTCCTTTAACATAAGGCTTAAATCGTTTTTCACTGCCGCCATTTGTGGCAGGGATAATTTACACAACACTCAAGTTTAAGTGGTTGTTATAGATGTCAAGTTCCACTAAAACTCTAGCTTTAAAGGAACTCTGGTATTTAGCCAGTTTATGTGTTGTCTGATCTCTTTCAAATAAATGAAATGCCTAAAATCTATTGAAGGAAGAATGCCTTTCACACCAGAGTTTTAGACTAAAAATGTGAAGAAATGACAGAGTTGAAGGCATTTTATGTCAAACCCTGAAAATAATGTTGTGCAATCTCTTGCAATATCTCAAGATGTGACACTCGGAGTTTGTGTTGTAAACTCGTTTTAACTCCCATCAATTCGACCTTGACATCTGTAATATTGACTGAGTTATAAACAATTTTGTTTTGGCTAATGTCAATTATTGTGAAAGGAGAAGTGTACAAAAGTTACTCAGTTCTAGAGGTACATCCATTGATATTTTGCTAACAGTCAGACAGAGTTGACTCCAACTATTTAATGGAAGCATTTTAAATAAAGATCTTGCACAATCTTTTTATGCTCAAAATATTTTTGGGATCAGTCTCAGTTACTACCACACAGTAGGTATCACAATTGTGTTTTTTTATGATCATTTGGCTGTAGCAGCCATCTTGAATTGGGTTGACTACAAAAGTTAATTATTTGAAGATGTACATACAGCTATTACTTTATGCAAGTTTCGTTTCAGCCTGTTCAGGGTTTTAAGAAATATTTTGTCAACAGACAGGCCCCTGCACAAACAGACTC